GGTGTGGTTGACCCCGTTGCTAGGTATGAGTCATCATTTCAAAAGCCGTGATTGGTTGATCCTACAAGTTTGATGAAAATGAACTTTTGGTGATAATGAGCAAAGGATGTACCCTCAAATCAATAAACATAATTATACACTCTAATCTTATGCAGACTATAATTGTAAATAATATTTCACATTCAAGAAAATATCTGGAAAATGAATAGTAAGCTGTAGGGGTTATAGCCTAACATTAGAATCTAAAATATGTGAAAACTTAAGCTCATTACACCCTGTTCAAATAATGATTTGTGTCTCATTTGCTCATATTAATATCCTAGCTGGCATATTTTGTACTTTCACTTCCATATGGACCCCATTGAAAACAAGATGGCCTATCTCAAGGGGCTGTCCTTAATGAAGTAGAAATTGCAACGTTACAACTCAGTGTGAACTTAACGAGGGTAACACAGCTCAGCTTTTAACAATGTCTGTGATTGCTGGCTGGTCTATTTATGAAGGCTTGTTAACAAATATCCTACAAACACAGAAAATGGAGAAAAAAAGGAATCGCAAGCCGAACTGGACTGAGGAGCAAGGTTTGTTGCTGGCCCAGTTGGTGAACGAACATAAAGGTATGTTACGAGGAAAATTTGGCCCAACTGTCACTAGCCAAGGCAAGAGGCGCGCCTGGGACACAATATCCCAAACAATCAATGCCTCTTTTCCACTGGTGGTGCGGACAGGCGACGATTGTGAGAAAAGGTGGTATGTGCTGCAGTCCAAGGCAAAAGATGAGATTGCAGCACACAAGCGGGAATCCTCACTCACAGGTGAGCAAAATACTATGGCCTACCACATAATCTGGCAATTTGCTCCTGCTGGCAAAGTTAATTTACATGCCTAAGTACTGTGTTCATTGACTGTTTCTTTCTAGGGGGTGGACCACCTGCAAAGCGGCTGTCCCAGGTGGCCGACACTGTCTTTCAAGTCCTGGGACACTCTGAGGTCAGTGTCACCGGGCTGCCAACAGGCATTGACACGTCAATGATGCAGGCCCTTGAAATGCAGCAAAGGTAGGACACAGGGTTATTCATATCAACAGTGTTTATTCATTGCAGAAGCCATTTCATGTGTTATCCATGCTCATTGTATTAAATTAATTTAATCAAAACAATAATTAAACTAGGCCTATGTATTTCTGTAGCATGGAGCCATCACAAGAACCGGGCCCATCAAGTTTGCCGCCTGAACCATCTGCAGCTGCTACTCAGGATAGCCCGGCGGATCAAACACCATTCCCATCCGCAGCACCTGCTCCGTCAGCATCCCTGCAGGAGAGAAGATTGCAACTCACAATTGATGTGTTTGAACAACAAAAAAAAGTCCTTTCCCTTCAGGAGGAGTACTACCGCCTTAAAATTGAACACCTAAAAAATAAACCATTTAGAGATTGTGTTCTGTGTCTTGCATTTAACAGTTGCAGGTGATGTGCAGTAAAACTGTGGTAGTTCTTAATACCATCACAAGTTCTCAAATGACATGGGGCTACAGCTTGCCTGAAATGTAAATTTGTGAAGTTTGCCCTGTAAGGCAGTCCACTCTGGGCTAGGTTCCCCTGTGGAATGTGAATATCTTCTTCACCACCATCCTCATCGTTGTCTCCATCCTCATCCTCATCGCCATCCTCCAGAGGTTCTGCAATCTGTCTAACCTTGCAAATATTGTGTAATATTGCACAGGCTATGATGAGTTTGCTGACTTTTTCAGGCCTCAGCCGCACCTCTCCGTGGAGAACATGAAAGCGCCTCTTAAGCTGGCCTATGCCACGCTCCACCACCGCTCTTGTTGTCTTGTGGGCCCTACAATAGAATACAGACCTTTAATTATTTGATGGAAATATTGCACTACTTGGATGCTCTAACATATTGCTTGCATTTCATTTCCATGATTTTTGTATTGTTTGGCTTACCTGTTATAGTTTAGTTGGGGCCCTTGGCGTGGCTGGAGGTAAGGTGTAAGGAGCCATGGTTTGCATGGGTAGCCACTGTCCCCTAACAAGTGGCAATTAGCTGGCACATAGCGTCTCTCAAAAAGCTGTCTGATGCCACTCTCGGAGAGCATTCTCGCATCATGTGTGGAGCCTGGCCATTTAGCCACAATGTCCAAAATCTTCCAGGCCGCATTGAACACTATTTGCACATTGATGCTGTGGAAATTCTTCCTGTTAACAAAGACAGCCTCGTCCTCTGATGGCGCAATTATTCTCACATGTGTTCCATCAATTACACCCACAACGCCAGGGAATCCTGCAATGTCCATAAATGCCCTTTTATGTGTGTGTAAAGTGCGGGCATCCAGCGGGAATGAAACAAATTGTGTCACAATATTAGGTTGTGACAAAGCTGTCAGTGTTTGGGTGATGACTCTGCTGACGGAGGATTGGGACAGACCCAAGTCATCACTGCTGCATTGTTGCATTTTCCCTGTTGCCAAATACCTCAGGGTTGTGATTACTTTCTTCTCCGGTGTAATAGCGTTGTGGCGTCGAGTTGGTGAAGTAATTGCATCTCTAAGGAGATCCACCACAAACATGATTCCTGCACGATCCAATCTGTAGCGTCTCAATAATTCCCTGTCATCCAGTGTTTGCAGGACATCTCTCCTGCCTCCTCTGTTGGCCATTTTGTGCAGCTGCTTAGGGTAACTCCTAAGCCACTAAAAGTCCTCTTCCCTGCTCTTAGCAGATCTCGCCTTAGGAGCCCTTTTAAGCGCTAGGACTCTTGAGGAATAGCTTTTATATTAACTGGGATTTTCGTGTCACTTTTAGGGGAAATTCTAAGAAAACGTCATGCCTCTGAGAATTTTCTTAGAATTTGGCCGCTAGGAGCCACTTTTTGCACAAAAATTCTTTAGAGATACGGGCCCAGAAGTGTCCGGTGCGAGAGAGGCAGGTTGAGGTTACCAGGGTTAGAGTAGTGCAGAGGGTGTCGTATGATGAGGCAGTGAAGAAAGTAGAGGAAGATGGGTCAAGGGGGAGGATTTGTGTAGTAGATCTGTGCCAGTACAGAGGGATAGGCCAACGAATGATATATGCTTCAGTAAGATTGGCTTTTTAGCATTCATAGCCATGGTTATCAACTGTACTGCAGGGATGGAACGTAAGTCGTAGAAAATGATACTAAATTTATACTGTTCCCACGGGGGGGCAGTATAAAAACAAATATGTATTCACTAACTGTAAGTCGCTCTGGATAAGAGCGTCTGCTAAATGACTAAAATGTAAATGTAAAATAGAGGTTGTGGTGGGAGCTGCAGATACGTTTTTGGGTGTACGAGATTTGACGTCAGAAGAGTTACAGGGTGTGTTGAGTGGTGGTGTCCTGTCCTTCCAGGCCGTTGGCAGGACTAGATTGGTTTAAATAGTGGAATAGGGTGGTGGGGTTTTAATGAGTGTAGGGTTAGATGGATGGGTATTTGTTAATTTTTTCTGTTTTTCCACGCAAAGTATAAGGGATTTATACCCCAGTCTAGTTGGTGGCGGTAATGCAACATTTATTGGATGCCAACCACCGTTAAACCTCATTGAAGAAGAAGAGACCATTGCATTTGACTTAAGCGTCTCCCTAGAGCAGCTCTGCATTCACTACAACTACATGTAGTTCAACTAGTAATTCAACTACATTTTGCAGTAGCTTGGTGGTAGTTGAACTAAATTAAAATCTTGTTAGTGTTTTCAGTAGTTCATTACTTTTTTTTGCCATGTAGCAGTGTCACTAACTACTGGAACTACACACTAATTTTTTGGCTAAAATAAAATAAAATAAAAAAGTAGGTAAGAATTTCCTTTCTTTTTCGGCATCAGACCTGCACAATACGCACTTAAAATATATAATATATAATATGCCATTTAGCAGACGCTTTTATCCAAAGCGACTTACAGTCATAAAATATAGTGTTTGTGTTTAATAGGCTAAATTATTAATTCTGTTAACATCTGACTCCATAGTGATCTGTTTTTGCAATTTTTACTGTATTCTATGACATTTCAGATTTACATATGATAATTGTTCAAAGTAGTTGAGGTAGTGAACTACTTTTTCAAAGTAACTTTAGTTAAGTAAACTATATTTTTTATTAAGGGTAGCTTTAGTGTAGCTTAACTTCTTCCAGTGTGAAGTAATTGGTAGCTTGATAAACAACATTTTCAGAGTAGCTTCCCCTACACTGTTCACAACACGTTCTACCACCAAAGCCAGGCTTACAGGAACACTGGCCACAGCTGTGGACAAAACACAAGCATATCAGAAATGTGACAGTAATAGGTTCACACACATTTACATTTTAGTCATTTAGCAGACACTCTTATCCAGAGCGACTTACAGTTAGTGTACATTGTGTTTTTTAAAACTTTTTTATATATATATATTTTCATACTGGCCCCCCGTGGGAATCGAACCCACAACCCTGGCGTTGCAAAGCCATGCTCTACCAACTGAGCTACATCCCACACAGTTACATTGACATACTTCATGATTGATTGCAAAACAATGACATTTCAGGGCCTTTTGTCTCAAATACTATCTAGGATAGACACAATATTTTGTGCTAGGTAACTAATATGCCTATTGCATTGACACTGATGAGTAAGTTACATTCATGTATAAGACCAGTGGTGTAAAATACTTGAGTAAAAGTACACATACCCCAACAACTACTCAAGTAGTACTTTAAAGTAATTTTACTTAAGTACTTTACACCACTGTTTAAGACACAAATCCCTGTCTTATTAAATTGTTTCTTATTCTTCTATGATATAATGGCGACCGCTAACCAACGTTAAAGGTGCATGCCGCCACCTACTGTGCTAGAGTGTGTGGTCAATCACGGTTTACAACATTTCTAAATCCTCCTACCTAACTCCGTACTATTTTATAATTTTTTACCAGTGAAAGATTTCTGTAACGCTTGTTTGGACGACCAGCAGTATTTGCGTTTCCTCGATTGTTACTGCGCAAGCGCAATTTCGTGAGTCCTTGGATGATCCGCCTGCTGTAGGTTACGCAGCCTGTAAAGGGACACAGTCAAAATGCAGAGCTGGAATCAAGTATATCGCACTCTGGCAACGGTAAGGAAAAATTATGATATGCCAATTACCAGTTCAAGTTGTCCGAAATAAATATAACTAAAAGTTACATACCTTGGGCAGTTACCCAACGTGATTTATGGTGTCCAGGCCTGGCTAGCTACCTAGCATAGCATATGCTAGCTAAAACCCTCAATTACTTCATTAGCTAGCTAGCATCTAGCTAGCCTATCGTTAGCGAGTACTCTAAAGCTAAATTGGCTAGCAGTGTTAGCAAGTTTGCGCTTTCTAGCCGTCCCATTCGAGCCTTGGTGTGTGGCATGTGCTAACATTATTGCTGGTTAGGTTAACATTATTGCTTTCATAAGCTAACGTTAATGTCATTACGAAATAATCAATTTCCAATCAAGCTACTGTAACGTTAACTAGCTAGCTACCTAAGTACCATTAGCCAACAAGCATCCCATCGCGAATGACGAAGTTGACATCATCCCCGACTGTCTGTCAAGCTCGCGAGCTTGTTTGTGGCTGTAAAGAACACCATCTTGCCCTCTGCTTTGACTGCTTCTAATGTTACATCAGTGACTCAAACTGCGCATTCAACCTGGTTTGTAAAGTTATTTGATTCATTATATAGTTATTAAAATTTGAACACTGTTGTTAGCTAGCTAACAAGGTATGTCTTTGAGCATTTGCTCAATACTTGAAAACAAGCTACCGTAGTGAGAATAATCTGAAACACTTGCTATCTGTTGAAGTTCAGATTATATTACATTACCCATTCCTTTGCAGGAATTTGTCTTTCATTCTAGAGCACTGAGTTAGAAAAAGATAACCATCATTTATACTGACTACACGACATGGATGACAACAACCGGTCACACAGCAGAGCCATATACGTACAGCACATGCTGACATTATAGTAAAATCTTTCTGATTGCTCATTGGCCCAATTTGTCCTCTCCTATCACATATAGCGTAGCCACCAACTCCCGAATAGGCTCCAGGGTGCAACTGTTCTCTCCATCAGAACATACTCTGACAAAGCGCAAAGTAAGTCAGCATTTATCACTCCAGTGTCTTGCTTGGAAATCTGACGTTGAATTGCATTGAATTCTACATCTGGCAGAAATTAGCGTTTGAATCAGGAAAGTTCCCTCTCGACCTCTACAAGCCAGAATGTTGAATAAAATGATATTTTAACGTACTTTACTGGGGTTGTCCGTGTGGTTGGTCCCTTTGGCGGTAGGAATGTGAGACAATATATCGACAGGAAAGTATTACATCAACTTTTCAAAGCGCTGGTAGTGGATTACATTTTACATTTTAGTCATTTAGCAGACACTCTTATCCAGAGCGACGTGCATAAATTTTTTCATACCGGTCCCCCGTGGGAAACGAACCCACAACCCTGGCGTTGCAAGCGCCATTCTCTACCAACTGAGCTACACGGGACGACATTCAGATTTATATCACCTGAAGCATGCTCAGAACCATGTAAACACCAGCAGGAGCTACGTCTCGTATGTACACTATTGGTCAAACGTTTTAGAACACCTACTCATTCAAGGGTTTTTCTTTATTTTTACTATTTTCTACATTGTAGAATAATAGTGAAGATGGATATTAAAACTATGAAATAACACATATGGAATCATGTAGTAACCAAAAAAGTGGTAAACAAATCAAAATATATTTTATATTTGAGATTCTTCAAATAGCCACCCTTTGCCTTGACAGCTTTGCACACTCTTGGCATTCTCTCAACAGCTTCACCTGGATGCTTTTCCAACAGTCTTGAAGGAGTTCCCACATATGCTGAGCACTTGTTGGCTGCTTTTCCTTCACTCTGCGGTCCGACTCATCCCAAACCATTTCAATTTGGTTGAGGTCGGGGGATTGTGGAGGCCAGGTCATCTGATGCGGCACTCCATCACTCTCATTCTTGGTCAAATAGCCCTTACACAGCATGGAGTGTGTTGGGTCATTGTCCTGTTGAAAAACAATTGATAGTCCCACTAACCCGAAACCAGATGGGATGGCGTATCGCTGCAGAATGCTGTGGTAGCCATGCTGGTTAACTGTGCCTTGAATTCTAAATAAATCACAGACTGTGTCACCAGCAAAGCACCCCAAAATCATAACACCACCTCCATGCTTTACGGTCGAAATACACATGCGGAGATCATCCGTTCACCCACACCGCATCTCACAAAGACGGCGGTTGGAACCAAAAATCTCAAATTTGGACTCCAGACCAAAGGACACATTTCCACCAGTCTAATGTCCATTGCTTGTGTTTCTTGGCCCAAGCAAGTCTCTTCTTCTTATTGGTGTCCTTTAGTAGTGGTTTCTTTGCAGCAATTTGACCATGAAGGCCTGATTCACACAGTCTCCTCTGAACAGTTGATGTTGATGTGTTTGTTACTTGAACTCTGTGAAGCATTTATTTGGGCTGCAATTTCTGAGGCTGGTAACTCTAATGAACTTATCTACTGCAGCAGAGGTAACTCTGGGTCTTCCATTCCTGTGGCGGTCCTCATGAGAGCCAGTTTCATCATAGCGCTTGATGGTTTTTGTGACTGCACTTGAATAAACTTTAAATATTCTTGACATTTTCCGGATTGACTGACCTTAATGTCTTAAAGTAATGATGGACTGTCGTTTCTCTTTGCTTATTTGAGCTGTTCTTGGCATAATATGGACTTGGTCTTTTACCAAATAGGGCTACAGTGAGGGGAAAAAAGTATTTAATCCCCTGCTGATTTTGTACATTTGCCCACTGACAAAGAAATGATCATTCTATAATTTTAATGGTAGGTTTATTTGAACAGTGAGAGACAGAATAACAACAATAAAATCCAGAAAAACGCATGTAAAACATTTTATAAATTGATTTGCATTTTAATGAGGGAAATAAGTATTTGACCCCTCTGCAAAACATGATTTAGTACTTGGTTGCAAAACCCTTGTTGGCAATCACAGAGATCAGACGTTTCTTGTAGTTGGCCACCAGGTTTGCACACATCTCAGGAGGGATTTTGTCCCACTCCTCTTTGCAGATCTTCTCCAAGTCATTAAGGTTTCGAGGCTGACGTTTGGCAACTCGAACCTTCAGCTCCCTCCACAGATTTTCTATGGGATGAAGGTCTGGAGACTGGCTAGGCCACTCCAGGACCTTAATGTGCTTCTTCTTGAGCCACTCCTTTGTTGCCTTGGCCGGGTGTTTTGGGTCATTGTAATGCTGGAATACCCATCCACAACCCATTTTCAATGCCCTGGCTGAGGGAAGGAGGTTCTCACCCAAGATTTGACGGTACATGGCCCCCGTCCATCGTCCCTTTGATGCGGTGAAGTTGTCCTGTCCCCTTAGCAGAAAAACACCCCCAAAGAAAGCATAATGTTTCCACCTCCATGTTTGACGGTGGGGATGGTGTTCTTGGGGTCATAGGCAGCATTCCTCCTCCTCCAAACACGGCGAGTTGAGTTGATGCCAAAGAGCTCCATTTTGGTCTCATCTGACCACAACACTTTCACCCAGTTCTCCTCTGAATCATTCAGATGTTCATTGGCAAACTTCAGAAGGGCATGTATATGTGCTTTCTTGAGCAGAGGGACCTTGCGGGCGCTGCAGGATTTCAGTCCTTCACGGCGTATTGTGTTACCAATTGTTTTCTTGGTGATTATGGTCCCAGCTGCCTTGAGATCATTGACAAGATCCTCCCGTGTAGTTCTGGGCTGATTCCTCACCGTTCTCATGATCATTGCAACTCCACGAGGTGAGATCTTGCATGGAGCCCCAGGCCGAGGGAGATTGACCTTTCTTTTGTGTTTCTTCCATTTGCGAATAATCGCACCAACTGTTGTCACCTTCTCACCAAGCTGCTTGGCGATGGTCTTGTAGCCCATTCCAGCCTTGTGTAGGTCTACAATCTTGTCCCTGACATCCTTGGAGAGCTCTTTGGTCTTGGCCATGGTGGAGAGTTTGGAATCTGATTGATTGCTTCTGTGGACAGGTGTCTTTTTATACAGGTAACAAGATGAGATTAGGAGCACTCCCTTTAAGAGTGTGCTCCTAATCTCAGCTCGTTACCTGTATAAAAGACACCTGGGAGCCAGAAATCTTTCTGATTGAGAGGGGGTCAAATACTTATTTCCCTCATTAAAATGCAAATCAATTTATAACATTTTTGACATGTGTTTTTCTGGATTTTGTTGTTGTTATTCTGTCTCTCACTGTTCAAATAAACCTACCATAAAAATTATAGACTGATCATTTCTTTGTCAGTGGGCAAACGTACAAAATCAGCAGGGGATCAAATACTTTTTTCCCTCACTGTATCTTCTGTATACCCCCCCTACCTTGTCACAACACAACTGATTGGCTCAAACGCATTAAGGAAAGAAATTCCACAAATTAACTTTTAAGAAGGCACACCTGTTAATTGAAATGAATTCCAGGTGACTACCTCATGAAGCTGGTTGAGAGAATGCCAAGTGTCATCAAGGCAAAGGGTGGATATTTGAAGAATCTCAAATATAAAATATATTTTGATTTGTTTAACACTTTTTTTTTGGTTACTACATGATTCCATATGTGCTATTTCATATTTTTGATGTCTTCACTATTATTCTACAATGTAGAAAATAGTAAAAATAAAGAAAAATCCTTGAATGAGTACGTGTTCTAAAACTTTTGACCGGTAGTGTATTTCTATCACCTGAAGGATGCTCACAAGATAAAAATTACATACGATACGTAGCTCGTGCTGGTGTTTACATGGTTCTGGCCTCCTGTAGCTCAGTTGGTAGAGCATGGCGCTTGCAACGCCAAGGTTGTGGGTTCGATTCCCACGGGGGGCCAGTATGAAAAATGTATGCACTCACTAACTGTAAGTCGCTCTGGATAAGAGCGTCTGCTAAATGACTAAAATGTTCTGAGCATGCTTCAGGTGATAGAAATCTGATGGAACTACCAGCGCTTTGAAAAGTTGATGTAATTATACTTTCCTGTCGATATATTGTCTCACGTTCCTAACGCCAAAAGGACCAACCACAAGGACAACCGGTAAAGTACGTTAAAATATCATTTTATTCAACATTCTGGCTTGTAGAGGTTGTGAGAGAACTTTCCTGATTCTAACGCTAATTTCTTCCCGACGTAAAATTCAATGCGATTCAACGTCGGGTTTCCAGGCAATCCAATGTCCAATAAGATAATTAGCGGCGCTGCACTTATCAAACTGTATGCGAACATATTCAGAATGTGAATGCAATACCAGTATGTGCCTCTAACTTGTTGCTCCTCTGATAAACATGTTTTTTGCTCTCCTACAGTTGATGCTGATGTCACAGTGGTGGGCTCTGGTCCTGGTGGATATGTTGCCGCAATCAAAGCAGCCCAGCTTGGTTTCAAGGTAACGTTAAGTCTTAACTAGGCTAACCCTTCATTCTGATCCCCAAGGAGTGGACGAAGCGGATGGAGTAAATGTAGGCTTAAGCCTAATTAATAGTGATGCCCATCTTGTGATAATTGTTCAACAACCACGTTTTCTATTTTACAGACGGTGTGTGTGGAAAAGAATCCCACCCTAGGCGGGACCTGTTTGAATGTCGGCTGTATCCCCTCAAAGGTAAACATTGTGAATGAGGAGTTTATAGAACTTTTACTGGGTGTTATTGTGCAACACTGCACAATTTAATCTGTGAGTTGAGGATTCATGGAGAATGTCTGTTTTCTCGCCTGTCACGTTCTAGGCCCTGCTGAACAACTCCTACCTGTACCACCAGGCCCATGGCAAGGACTTTGAAAGCAGGGGCATTGAAAGTAAGAGTTTACATCAGCTAGACTCGAGCAGTGGTCACCACCAGTCCTGGTCCTAGAGAGCTGAAGGGTGTGCAGGCTTTTGTTGAGTTTTTAGGGATGCCAGTTACGAACATTACATGACCCTCGGTCTTTCTCTGTCTGTGCCAGTCTCGGGAATCACATTGAACCTGGAGAAGATGATGTCACAGAAGAGCGGGGCAGTCAAAGCACTGACAGGAGGCATTGCACATTTATTCAAACAGAACAAGGTGAGGCCTTACCTACAGTCAGTCCCTCCCTACTTACATTGTTAATGATAGACCTAGTTCACAAATTAGACAAATGTAGCTCACTTTATGGATAAATGGCAACTAAAATAGGGATCCTGGCAGTCAGCATCCTAAAATATGGGTTAGTTAGTCAGTATGGTATAAGCATGGGTTTGTTTGTCAGACAGACAGTGTAGCATTAGCTCATGCAAAACAATGGGAGTGGTAGAACCTGTTAGCGTGCTCCAAATAGCATGCTGAAATCAATACCATTTCAAGTACAAACCACGTTCTATCCCTTTATAACCACCAAAACGCTGACAGCGAGAGTATGACTAAGTTCCTTCAGCTTTGTGAAGAGATTTCGCCTCAGCAGGATAAGCTTGAAACAACAGTTTTGACTGTCCTCTATCTTCTTTGAATGGAAGCGACCTTCTACGGATATTACATTGTCAATGGACTTGTCCTTTGTCTTAAACCCACTTGTAATTTGAATCCATCAGTTTGATACCAAAGCAGGCTGTTTTGATGCTTCCCTCTGTATTCTTTGTGTTACAGGGTCGGTAGTGAACTTGACCCCGTCTTTAATTGATGATGTAACTGATGATGTAATGTGGCGGTTTCTCCTCAGGTGACACACGTGAACGGCTATGGGAAGATCACAGGCAAGAACCAGGTGACGGCCACGGCTGAGGACGGCAGCGAGCAGGTCATCAACAGCAAGAACATCCTCATCGCCACTGGCTCCGAGGTCACGCCCTTTCCAGGGATCGAGGTACGTTACTGTACTCTTTAGTAGTAGTTTGTAGCAGGTGACCAGATGTGTTAGTTGTCCTGGGCAAAGCCGTGTCCTAACTCTCCTAACCTCCTGTGCCGTCAGGTTGATGAGGACACGGTGGTGTCCTCCACGGGAGCCCTGGACCTGAAGAAGGTGCCTGAGCATCTCATCGTCATCGGAGCCGGAGTCATCGGGGTGGAGCTGGTGAGGGACCACACACACACACACACACAGGATTACAGCATTGTCTGTAAAGAGTAAGTGTCCATACAATAATTGCTTAATTGGTCCATTTGCACTGATGTTCTAAAATGTTTTGCTGTCTCAGTACCCAACCTGACACACAACACACACATCACAGGCTGCGGCAGAGCAAAGCCCCTGGAGCACTTAGGGGTAGTGTCTTGCTCAAGGGCACAACGGCGGTAGGTAGTACACAGGGATATTGAAACCAGTAACCCTCCAGCTGCCAGATAACTCCCTGCAGATTTCCCCACAGGCATCTCTTGGGGAATATCCAGGGTCCAGTCTAACATCCTGTTTGGCCTCCTGTTCACCAGGGGTCAGTGTGGCAGCGTCTGGGCTCCAAGGTGACAGCGGTGGAGTTCCTGGGCCACGTGGGCGGCTTGGGCATCGACATGGAGATCTCCAAGAACTTCCAGCGCATCCTTCAGAAGCAGGGCATGAAGTTCAAGCTGGGCACCAAGGTCATGGGCGGCATCAAGAGGCCCGACGGCAAGATTGACGTGGCGTGAGTTCCATCCCCCAGTGGAGTGTGTGTGTGTGTGTGTGTATAGGGTGGATCTAAATCTGAATTAACTAAGTCACTGAAATGAATGTGCTTGCAAGTTTCTAGTTAAACATCAGCATGTACTGTATGACCAAAAGGGCTGACCCCATTTAGTCGACTGTTCGATTGTTTGGTTGATAGGCTGTTGGTCGGCCGAGATTTTTTTTAGTCGAGCAGTGGCAAACAAATTTTTTTAAATGATGGTACATGTGACACGTCTGATTGACGCCTGTCTGAGTGGACTAATCCATTGCGGAGGCCGCGGGGATGGCACACCAGTATCACCAGTACTACATTTACCCTTAATTACCATCATTTATCATCAAATCAAATCAAATTGTATTTGTCACATACGCCAAATACAACAAGTGTAGACCTTACAGTGAAATGCTTACTTACAAGCCCTTAACCAACAATGCAATTTTAAGAAAGAATACCAAACAAATACTAAAAAAACATTAAATAATAATAAGAAATATATATAAACAGGACCCTGTCTTTCAAAGATGATAATTTGTAAAAATCCAAATAACTTCACAGATCTTCATTGTAAAGGGTTTAAACACTGTTTCCCATGCTTGTTCAATTAACCATAAACAATTAATGAACATGCACCTGTGGAACAGCTTACAGACGGTAGGCAATTAAGGTCACAGTAATGAAAACTTAGGACACTAAAGAAGCCTTTCTACTGACTCTGAAAAACACTCATCTGCGTGAACATGCCTTAGGCATGCTGCAAGGAGGCATGAGGACTGCAGATGTGGCCAGGGCAATACATTGCAATGTCCGTACTGTGAGACGCCTAAGACAAGACAGACAGCTGATCGTCCTCGCAGTGGCAGACCACGTGTAACAACACCTGCACAGGATCGGTACATCAGAACATCACACCTGCGGGACAGGTACAGGATGGCAACAACAACTGCCTGAGTTACACCAGGAACGCACAATCCCTCCATCAGTGCTCAGACTGTCTGCAATAGGCTGAGAGAGGCTGGACGGAGGGCTTGTAGGCCTGTTGTAAGGCAGGTCCTCACCAGACATCACCGGCAACAACGTCACCTATGGGCACAAACCCACCTTCGCTGGACCAGACAGGACTGGCAAAAAGTGCTCTTCACTGATGAGTTGCGGTTTTGTCTCACCAGGGGTGATGGTCGGATTTGCGTTTATCGTCGAAGGAATGAGCGTTACACCGAGGCCTGTACTCTGGAGCGGGATCGATTTGGAGGTGGAGGGTCCGTCATGGTCTGGGGCGGTGTGTCACAGCATCATCGGACTGAGCTTGTTGTCATTGCAGGCAATCTCAACGCTGTGCGTTACAGGGAAGACATCCTCCTTCTTCATGTGGTACCCTTCCTGCAGGCTCATCCTGACATGACCCTCCAGCATGACAATGTCACCAGCCATTCTGCTCGTTCTGTGCGTGATTTCCTGCAAGACAGCAATGTCAGTGTTCTGCCATGGCCAGCGAAGAGCCCAGATCTCAATCCCATTGAGCACGTCTGGGACCTGTTGGATCGGAGGGTGAGGGCTAGGGCCATTCCCCCCAGAAATGTCCGGGAACTTGCAGGTGCCTTGGTGGAAGAGTGGGGTAACATCTCACAGCAAGAACTGGCAAATCTGGTGCAGTCCATGAGGAGTACTGACTGTTACTTTTTGACCCCCCCTTTGTTCAGGGACACATTATTCAATTTCTGTTAGTCACATGTCTGTGGTTGTTGTTAATCTACAATGCCTGTTTGGTTACGGTAATTTCTGTTAATGCATTCAATATATTATTATTACAGTCTTACTCATTGTAGGAGTGGACACGTTGTTTGCAGAGCGCACAACCTAGGCTACACAACCTAGGCTACACAACCTAGGCTACACATCACCGCCTGGTATGGCAACTGCTTGGCCTCTGACCGCAAGGCACTACAGAGGGTAGTGCGTACGGCCCAGTACATCACTGGGGCAAAGCTCCCTGCCATCCAGGACCTCTATACCAGGCGGTGTCAGAGGAAGGCCCTCAAAATTGTCAAAGACTCCAGCCACCCTAGTCATAGACTGTTCTCTCTGCTACCGCACGGCAAGCGGTACCGGAGTGCCAAGTCTAGGTCCAAAAGACTTCTCAACAGCTTCTACCCCCAAGCCATAAGACTCCTGAACAGCTAATCATGGCTACCCGGACTATTTGCACTGCCCCCCCACCCCATCCTTTTTACGCTGCTGCTACTCTGTTAAGTATTTATGCATAGTCACTTTAACTCTACCCACATGTACATATTACCTCAACTACCTCAACTAGCCGGTGCCCCCGCACATTGACTATGCAACGGTACCCCCCTGTATATATAGCCTCCCTACTGTCACTTTATTTTACTGTATATATAGCCTCCCTACTGTCACTTTATTTTACTTCTGCTCTTTTTTTCTCAACACTTTTTTGTTGTTGTTTTATTCTTACTTTTTTGTTTAAAATAAATGCACTGTTGGTTAAGGGCTGTAAGTAAGCATTTCACTGTAATGTCTGCACCTGTTGTATTCGGCGCATGTGACCAATAAAATTTGATTTGATTTGATTTGACAACCTAGGCTACACAACCTAGGCTACACAACCTAGGCTACACAACCTAGGCTAGGCTACACAACCTAGGCTAGGCTACACAACCTAGGCTACACAACCTAGGCTACACAACCTAGGCTACACTTATTTCATTCCATTTACGAGTTGTCAATTTATTCATTGACAGGAGCGCTCCAAACAAAAGACAATCTTGAGTAAGGACATGCACTGATTACGCATATAGAAGTAGGCCTAGTCTACCTGACCTGCGCGCAAATGTAGGCCTAGAAATGTGCCCATTTGGGGATCTGACACTATTTCTTAACTCACCATTACTGTGGAGCTTCTCAAATAAAGTTATTCTTCGCCTCAAACAGCAAGTAAACAAAGTCTGTTTTTACATACATTGAGAATGACAATAGTTCCTCAATGTGGCCTATTTGAAAAATCTTTCCAGCTCTCGCTCCCTTTCGATTACCACTCAGCATGAAAGGGGAATAAAATGACATGGCGTGCTCTGATCCCTTGGAAACGTCATAAAATAGGCCTACCTGATTACTTATTATCCCTTGCACTAAATAGCCTACAGCTGTGTCTGTCAATGTGATTTGTAGGATATTTATTTTTATCAATATATTTTCTACCTACAGGCTGCAATGTTTTTATTTGTTGGCTTTATGTAGGCTATTTTTACGTATTGGCATTGGCAATAGAAGTTACTTTTAGATTTGTATCATTTTCATAAAAAATGTTGATTAACCACATGACATTGATTTTGAGATATGAAGATTTTGTTATAAATTAAACTGTTCCACGAAAATGTGCATATGAATATCATAACTGGCACGCAGATCAGTAGAAATGGTAGGATAACTTGGCACTCCAAATGGAAAAGGTTGCCGACCGCTGGTGTAGCCTATTACCGGCAACTTCAGGAGCTTAACAGCAGAATCTGCAAAGGCCAGTGGCAGCGGGAGTAGGAGGGGGGTCGGGAACATGTTTTGTTCTTCTGGTTAGGCTATATTGGTCTCTGGCTCCCTCTTTAGTAATTTGTGTCTTCAATTTTAATCACAGTGCTTAAAACATCAGACAAGCTCAGTAGCCTACATATAATTGATTGTATTCAAACATAGGAAAAAATTTATATATGGATTTTTTTTTAAACATTTCAATCCAATTGATTGGTCGAAAGAACAGACGACTCTCGGTCGACCAAGATTTGTTTTAGTCTGGGACAGCCCTAATGACCAAGCACTAACCAAACCTAACCGTGTGTGTTGTCTCTCCAGTGTGGAGGCGGCGGCCGGCGGGAAGAACGAGACTCTGACGTGTGACGTGCTGCTGGTGTGTATCGGCAGACGGCCCTTCACCAGGAACCTGGGCCTGGATAACGTGGGCCTGGAGCTGGACAACAGGGGACGCATCCCTGTCAATAACCGCTTCCAGACCAAAGTACCCAGGTAGACCTAAACTAGCACTACACCCCTCTGTAATATACAACATCCCCAAGATAGACAAACTAGCACTACACCCCTCTATGTAATATACACTGAGTGTACAAAACTTTAGGAACAATTTCATAATATTGAGTTGCACCCCCTTTGGCCCTCAGAACAGCCTCAATTCATCAGGGCAAGGACTCTACAAAGTCTCGAAAGTATTCCACAGGGATGCTGGCCCATGTTGACTCCAATGCTTCACACAGTTGTGTCAAGTTGGCTGGATGTCCTTTGGATGTTCTTGATACACACAGGAAACAGTTGCGTATGAAAAACCCAGCAGCGTTACAGTTCTTGACACAAACCGCCTGGCACCTACTACCATACCCCGTTCAAAGGCACTTAAATCTTTTGTCTTGCCCATTCACCCTCTGAATGGCACACATACACAATCCATGTCTCAATTGTCTCAAGGCTTCAAAAGCATTCTTTAACCTGTCTCTTCCCCTTCATCTACACTGATTTGAAGTGAATTGAACAAGTGACATCAATAAAGGGATCATAGCTTTCACCTGGTCAGTCTGTAATGGAAAGAGGTCTTTCTAATGTTTTGTACACAATGCCTGCTTTTTCAATATACACCTAATACTCCAACCGCCTCTCACCAAGATCTTTCCCTCCTATTTATTCTGTTTCCCTCCTTAGTATCTATGCCATTGGTGATGTGATTGCTGGGCCCATGCTGGCACACAAAGCGGAGGACGAGGGCATCATCTGCGTGGAAGGCATTGCCGGGGGCGCCGTGCACATCGACTACAACTGTGTCCCCTCTGTCATCTACACACACCCCGAGGTGGCATGGGTGGGGAAGACAGAGGAGCAGCTCAAAGAGGAGGTGATGCACACATCCCCAACCCCACCACACCAACACTCATAGTTTTGACCAAATCAAGTAGTGGACATGGCTTTTATATATAATGCTCAATGGATCAATGACTTGTTTGGATTTCAGCTGCTAAAGTGTTGCTAGTTATGATTTTAAAACGACATTGAAATCCCTGAAGGTGTAAGAGTTAGCCACAGGGTGGCGATATACCTTCCCCAAAATTGTTGACCTAAAAGAGACAAAGTCCCTCAAAGTAATAATAATAATAATATGCCATTTAGCAGACGCTTTTTCCAAAGCGACTTACAGTCATGTGTGCATACATTTTTACGTATGGGTGGTCCCGGGGATCGAACCCACTACCCTGGCGTTACAAGCGCCATGCTCTACCAATTGAGCTACAGAGGACCAGTATTGCACATGTAGTATCAACACTGAAACGTGAAAGTAAAACATAACTGTAACCTCAACTCTATTTCGCAGGGCATCCCATACAAGGTGGGAAAGTTCCCGTTTGCCGCCAACAGCCGAGCCAAAACCAACGCAGACACCGATGGCCTGGTGAAGATCCTCGGCCACAAGGAGACCGACCGGATATTGGGCGCTCACATCCTGGGCTCTGTGAGTCACGCCACCTCAGGCTACCTCGCAGAGAGAATTTGGGCTATAACATATGAAGTTGTACGCTAACTGTGGTGACCCTTTGTGTTTAGGGGGCAGGAGAGATTATCAACGAGGCGGCGCTCGCCATGGAGTACGGCGCGTCCTGCGAGGACGTTGCCAGAGTTTGCCACGCCCATCCCGTGAGTTAAACACACAAGCATAGTCATGTCGTAGAAGTTCAACAATGCCATTGATATAGGGCCTAGCCACAATTTCATTCAAATGCACACACATCCACATTTGTGGAACCACACCACCCACCTGTCAGAAGATGCCAGTCAATCTAACCTCCTCTTCTCCCATCTACCCCTCTCTTCCAGACTGTGTCAGAGGCCTTCAGAGAAGCCAACCTCGCAGCCTCCTTCGGGAAAGCTATCAACTTTTAACTACTGTCTTCGCTCGCACAGCTGTGTACATACCCGTTCAGTCCACAACGTCCCCAACCCAGAACTGTCTGTCTGTCTACAAGCAACGCACACCTTAGGAGGGGGACACATAATGTACTGTGACCCCCTCAGGGGGATACTCTATATACATACAAAGACAAACCGTGTACTACATTTTAATATGGTATAGAAATGTTCTCAAAGGGGGTTTGGGTGGTAAAAATAGACCAGAGATTTCTACTTGGAATGGTTCGCTGCTATATCAAATAACTAACTATATATATATATATATATATATAGTCGCAGGATATCTAGCATTTTCCCAACACCACTTTCTTAGTGCATTGCTCAGAGATGTATAGTATTCATAGTTTCAGAGAATGACCGTGACCGTAGGTTGGCTTGGGTGGACAACTGCTGCATTTACCAATAAGAGATGAGTCATGACTGAAGTTTTTTTTTTTTAAGACTGAAGCAAAACGAAAAGAAACTTTTGTAAAGGTGTAAGGAGGATGCAGTTGGAAAGGCCCAAGCAGCAACTGGCTTGTATGAATTGCAATACTTGAATTTAAATATGGCTGTGTTCTGTCATTCTGTGTGTATACAATTTTGCTTAATTCTGAGCTCTACAAAAAAATAAATGCAGTAACGATTCAGAAGTCTAGAGATGTGTGATGCATTGGCGTGGTGTTTTCCCGTGTTCAGTGCCATGTGTGGAACAGCAGAGGGAGCTTACTCAGAGCGAAAGGGTTTAATCTGTCAAGTGAGGATTTTTGTATGGAGGTCAATGAGTGTTGAATTTGGTCAACAAATGTAATTTGCTACGTGAGGCTTATTTGATTCAAAATACACTACCGGTGAAAAGTTTTAGAACACCTACTCATTCAAGGGTTTTTCTTTATTTTTACTATTTTCTACATTGTAGAATAATAGTGAAGACATCAAAACTATGAAATAACATATGGAATCATGTAGTAACCAAAAAAGTGTTAAACAGATTTAAAAAACATTTTATATTTGAGATTCTTCAAATAGCCACCCTATGCCTTGATGACAGCTTTGCACACTTGGCATTCTCTCAACCAGCTTCACCTGGAATGCTTTTCCAATAGTCTTGAAGGAGTTCCCACATATGCTGAGCACTTGTTGGCTGCTTTTCCTTCACTCTGCTGTCCGACTCATCCCAAACCATCTCAGTTTGGTTGAGGTCGGGGGATTGTGGAGGCCAGGTCATCTGATGCAGCACTCCACTCTCCTTCTTGGTAAAATAGCCCTTACACAGCCTGGAGGTGTGTTGGGTCATTGTCCTGTTGAAAAACGAATGATAGTCCCACTAAGCCCAAACCAGATGGGATGGTGTGTTGCTGCAGAATGCTGTGGTAGCCATGCTGGTTAAGTGTGCCTTGAATTCTAAATAAATCAGTGTCACCAGCAAAGCACCATAACACCACCTCCTCCACGCTTTACGGTGAGAAATACACATGCGGAGATCATCCGTTCACCCACACCGCGTCTCACCAAGACACGGCGGTTGGAACCAAAAATCTCCAATTTGGACTCCAGACCAAAGGACACATTTCTACCGGTCTAATGTCCATTGCTCATGTTTCTTGGCCCAAGCAAGTCTCTTCTTATTGGTGTCCTTTAGTAGTGGTTTCTTTGCAGCAATTCGACCTTGAAGGCCTGATTCACACAGTGTCCTCTGAACAGTTGATGTTGAGATGTGTCTGTTACTTGAACTCTGTGACACATTTACTTGGGCTGCAATTTCTGAGGCTGGTAACTCAAATGAACTTATCCTCTGCAGCAGAGGTAACTCTGGGTCTTCCATTCTTATGGCAGCTCTCATGAGAACCAGTTTTGTCATAGCGCTTGATGGTTCTTTCAACTGCACTTGAAGAAACTTTCCAAGTAATGATGGACTGTCTTTTCTCTTTGCTTATTTGAGCTGTTCTTGCCATAATATGGACTTGGTCTTTTACCAAATAGGGCTATCTTCTGTATACCCCCCTACCTTGTCACAACACAACTGATTGGCTCAAACGCATTAAGAAGGAAAGAAATTCCACAAATTAACAAGGCACACCTGTTAATTGAAATGCATTCCAGGTGACTACCTCATGAAGCTGGTTGAGAGAATGCCAAGAGTGTGCAAAGTTGTCATCAAGGCAAAGGGTGGCTATTTGAAGAATCTCAAATATAACATATTTTCATTTGTTTAACACTTTTTTGGTTTCTACATATGTGCTATTTCATAGTTTTGATATCTTCACTATTATTCTACTATGTAGAAAATAGTAAAAATAAAGAAAAACCCTTGAATGAGTAGGTGTTCTAAAACTTTTGACCGGTAGTATACGTTTCGTAAAGGGTTAGGTTGTTACGAATGCATTAAAATAAGTGGACGCACGTGGCATTTCGGCAACTTGGGGAAAAAACTACTTTATTGGAGTTGTGCCTGTTGTTCACACGCGTATCTGCCCTCTCATTGGTTAGAATGGTCCAACCTTAGGGATATCCTACGAAGCAAGCTACACTGAACAAAAATATAAACGCAGCAATTTACAGTTACCCAGGAAATCAGTGAATTGAAATAAATTAATTAGGCCCTAACATGTGGATTCCACATGACTGGGAATACAGGTATGCATCCGTTGGTTACAGATTTGGAACACGCCATCGATCCAGAGCATCCAAAACATGCTCAATGGGTGATATGTCTGAGTATGCAGGCCATGGAAGAACTTGAACATTTCCAGCTTCCAGGAATTGTGTACAGATCCTTGTGACATGGGGCCGCGCATTATGCTGAAACGTGATGGCGGCGGATGAATGGCATGACAATGGGCCACGATCGCGTCACGGTATCTCTGTGCATTCAAATTGCCATCGATAAAATACAATTGTGTTCATTGTCTGTAGCTTATGTCTGCCCATACTATAACCCCACCATGGGGCACTCTGTTCACAACGTTGACATCAGCAAACCGCTCACCCACACGACTGCCATCTGCCCTGTACAGTTGAAACTGGGATTCATCCCTGAAGAGCACACTTCTCCAGCATGCCAGTGGTGACGGAAGGTGAGCATTTGCCCACTGAAGTTGGTTACGACACCGAACTGCAGTCAGGTCAAGACCCTAGTGAGGACGATGAGCACGCAGATGAGCTTCCCTGAGACGGTTTCTTTCAGTTTGTGCAGAAATTATTTGGTTGTGCAAACCCAGTTTCATCAGCTTGTCCGGGTGGCTGGTCTCAGATGATCCCGCAGGTGAAGAAGCTGGATGTGGAGGTCCTGGGCTGGCGTGTTTACACGTGATCTGCAGTTGTGAGGCCAGTTGGACGTACTGCCAAATTCTCTAAAACGACGTTGGAGGCGGCTTATGGTAGAGAAATGAACATTAAATTCTCTAGCAACAGCTCCGGTGGACATTCCTGCAGTCAGAATGCCAATTGCACACTCCTTCAAAACTTGAGACATCTGTGGCATTGTGTTGTGTGACAAAACTGCACATTTTTGAATGGCCTTTTATTGTCCCCAGCACAAGGTGTACCTGTGTAATGATCATGCTGTTTAATCAGCTTGTTGATATGCCACACCTGTCAGGTGGATAGATTATCTTGGCAATGGAGAAATGCTCACTAACAGAGATGTAAACAAATATTCACAAAATTTGAGATAAATATGTTTTGTGTATGGAACATTTCTGGGATCTTTTAATTCAGCTCATGAAACATGGGACCAACACTTTACATGTTACGTTTATATTGTTGTTCAGTATAGATCTACTCAGGGTTTTCTAAAGCGAACCAGCTTCAGTTAGCTTCACATTCCAGCTCAGGCTTCATCCATACTATGATGGTGGATATTGCTCATCCGCTAACTAGCAGGTTTGTAACTGCGTGTACATGGCTAGTCGAATGCCAAACTCTTCATGAAATATCAATCCATGGGCTAGTCAGTTCCACATTTTTTAGTTATTTTGAAAATTCAGCAGGCTATGGTGTGAAATAAGCTTTTAGAAGTGCCATCTTTAGTTTATTACTTATTGTTAATGATGAATTTGGTGTTTATCAATGCACAACCACAACCTTTTTTCCCACTCCTATCCATAAAATAATTGTATTAAGTCATACAAAAGTGCTACTGTGCGTGAAGTTTAAAATGCATTCTATTATTGTTAAAAGTGTAATGTGATATTTTAACTTTTTTTTTTTTTTTTTACACACACACAAAACATTTGATTTAATAAAATATTTCATCAGTACTCTTCCTCAAATGAAGGGGATGGTGACGCAATGTTTGCAAGAGGGAGGGAATCTGATTGCATTGGTCCTCAACTCGTGGCTCAGTCATTTCATTCAAGGGTAAGTGGGTTAGCCTGCCCCAGAGTAGGTTAGTTCTGAAGGAGTTGTTGCCATAGACATTTACATGGCTAAAAGATGAGCCACTTTCGTATGACCAGTTATCCTGAGTTGACCAACGCTACCTCGCTAACTCCTCAAACCTGCTTCGTAGGATACCCCTCTGATCTCGCCTCCTCCCGCCTGCCTTCCATCTTTGAGGACATGTATTTCCATTGTTAGAGCTGTCACTTGACTATCTTGTCAATATCATATACTTTTTTTTGTCTTATTCAGTAAGAAGATGCGACTAGAGACTTCCTCTCCATCTTCACTCATTTGGAATCACTGTAGGACAGGTGAAAGCAATAGTGGAAGCCTTCAGAAGGGTTTGCCAGAAAAGGAGACAAGCCACTTTAGACTATAAAATGCCCAGACACAGATCAAGGCATTGTGCTACTTCTGGATTTTGGCAAAATTATTTTTATGTATCTGTGTTCAGTATGAAGGAAGTTGGAGGTAGTTGCGCAAGCCAATGCTAACTAGCTTGGTAACTAGCTTTGGCGCAATGACTGGAAGTCTATGGGTATGTACTAGCATGCCTGTGTCTGGGAAACTGTCTTATGTAGTATAATTTGTCTTTAGTTTAATGGTATTCCATTATGCTGCTTTTTTACACCAGAGTATACACCCTTATGTTGTCCTAGGGAAACTGTTTCCATAGCTAGGGCTGACAGTGAGGACTTGTGAAGAGCAGAATCAACATCCTCTGCATAATCAAAACAGTTGCTTTGTGAGAAGGTCTTAAAGTCAGTTAGCCATTGTTATGTAAATGACAGCTGAAAAGTACCAGTGGCCTGGCTTTAGACCCAAGTGAGAGCAGGTCCGCCAGAGCCATGGCCCAGTGAGACACGGGTGCCGGCCCGCGTAGATGGAAACCAAAAAGCCAGCCTTTTGGGTAAAACACTGGGGTAAATCCTGTATGGAAATGCACCATTAGAGTAGGGAGTAGGCAATTCTGGTCCGGGGGGGGGGGGGGGGGGGGGGGGGGTTGTTCCTGCTCAGCTGTACACACTGCAGAACCCTCAGGACTCGAGTTGCTCTGTTTTCATGTAAAACGTTACTTTGCAGTGTGCCTTCAAAAGTCTATTTTCTTTTCAGTCCTCAAATGTTGTGTTTGGCCACAATAAAAAACGTGTTTATCACCACCCTTTGTTGCAGTGTATTCATATGAATCTTACAGCACATCTTAAATCTTTATGGCCAGGATTCAATCCGATCACGCATTGTCGACAATGCACCTTTTAAAGGCAATGTTCGGGGATATTGCATTCACGGTAGGCTAAACGCTGCATACGACAACTAAATCTGAAATTTGCTTTAGATCGGATCAACGCGAGATCGGATTGAATCCGGGCCTAACTTTATGCTTACTACACAAAGTTCATCATCAACAACACACTAAGTTAATTACAGATACAGTTCTGCAGCTCAAATGTCCTGTGTCAAACTAATGAGCAAGGACTCCTCTCACGAAGCCAGCTCGCTTACGCCTGGTTTCATTTAAGTGAATAGGTGCGTATCACGCTGTGCAAACGTTACGTGTCCGGTGTAGCAAGCCAGTTAGACTGGCAATGTTCTCATAGTTCAAGCGTTAATTCAGTCATATCTTATCCAACAAAGAAAACTGTGAATGTGCCTCTCAAGCTTCTGTCTGATCCCCTTCCCCCACACCGGGCACAGTCATGTTTCTGTGCATTATCTCCTTGTGTTCTCTTAGGCGTTGCTTTGATCTGAAGCATTTAAGACAATCATAGCAATATGGCTTCTTCTCAGTGTGTATTTTCTGATGACTATTTAACGCCCCTCTGTCACTGAAGCATTTTTGACATGTAGGACACACATGCGGTTTCTCCCCTGTGTGAATTCTCAAATGCACCTTCAACTGAAAACCTGTGGAGAAAGATTTGCCACAAACGTGACAGTGGTGTGGTTTCTCCCCTCTGTGTCTCTTCATGTGCCGATTCAAGTTTGAACTCTGACTGAAACATAGGTCACACTCCTGGCAGTGAAACGGTTTGTCATTGGTGTGAATTCTCATATGCACTGTTAGAGAATGGCTATAAGTAAAACATTTCTTACAAAGCTGACACTGATGTGATTTCTCCCCTGTGTGAATCCTCATATGCAATTGTAGATTACCATTCTGAGGGAAGCATTTGCCACATTCAGGACAGCTATAGGGTTTCTCCCCTGTGTGAATCCTGCTATGATTTTTCAGGTGCGCCATCCTAGCGAATGTACTGCCACAATCCTGGCAGCGAAATGGTTTCTCCCTTGTATGAGTCCTTATATGCATTTTAAGGCAAGTGCCAAGGCGGAATGTTTTGCCACAATCATTACAGTGATATGGTTTCTCTCCAGTGTGGATCCTCATATGCGCATTCAGATTTCCACTCTGAGCATAACATTTGCCACATTCATGGCAGCGATGAGGTTTCTCCCCTCTGTGGACCGTCCTCATATGCAAATTCAGATTTGCAATACTGGCAAAATATTTATCACAGTCATTACAGGGAAATGGTTTCTCCCCTGTGTGGGTCCTCATATGCTTTTCCAGATCCTTAGTAGCATCAAACCTTTTACCACAAACATCACAAAACCTAGTTCTGTGAGTTTGTAATATGTGATCCATCACACATTTTAGGGATTGACAGGTTTTTCCACAAACACCACAAATGTGTTCATTATCTTTTCTGTGACTTTTCAAATGTATCAACAAAGCTCCAAAGGACTGACAAGGCCTTCCACACACCTTGCAACAAGGACCAGCAGGGCTTTGTCCTTTTCCTGTCCGTGTCCTCTTTAATTTGTGCGTCTTTAAAGCAGACAGTGGTCTTCCACTCTCCTTCCTATCAACACTTTCACTGTTTTCACCCTGAGCTGCAGAACAGCCTGGATTTACTGCAGAGAGGGCCTGAGAGTCACTGGTTGGTTCTGAAGAGTTCTCTTTCTGAGGTTCTGTTTTTATCTGTTCAGTGGACGAATCTCCATTTTTGCATTCCTTACTTTGGGTTTTGTTAAGATGTGAGGACCAAGTTGGGTACTGATCATAGTCACTTTTCACACGGGGAGGAGTAAACACAGAGTCTTTAGTATTATACTCCAGCTCTTGACATTCCTCTTTCCCCTGGCTGGTCCAGAGTTCCTCCTGTTCCTCTTTAATCTGTGTGGGGTCTAGGTCCTCCTGCCCCAGACTGGGGCTCCACTCGTGCTCACAGTGCTGCTGCTCAGGGGGAGCCTCTAACTCAGAGACGTTGAGCTGTTGGAGGTCTGAAGGGAAGGAGAAAGGATTCATTACCTAGAACTCAAACACTGACATGAGACAGACAGGGGTCTCTGTAAACCTGGGAATAGTCCTAGTTCCATAACAAGTGTTGTGAACAACAATGTTATCATTAGAATGCACATGTAGCGCTTTATATGGACATTTTTACATATTCAATGTTTTCTTTAATATATGATTTTGTGTGTGCTCAGGGAACTAAAATGGAAATTCCAAGAAGATTTACAGAGACCTGTGGGGCGTTCACATGATATCGGAAGTTTGGAGTTCCAACTGGGAAATTTCACTTCAAAAAACGTCCAAGTTGTAATTACAAGTGGGAAACTCAGAGAAAATGTTCGTACCAGAGTTGTGACGTTTCATCTCTGGCATTTCACCTTTTCAACCAAAAGATGACATTGTAATTGTGAAACACGGATTTGTTGTCAAACTTATCAATGTGGATACTGTAGCTAGTTTGCCATATTGCCAATGTTAAGCAACTTAGCTAACTATATTATTAGCAACGTTAGCTAACGTATCTAGCTAGCTAAAATCTTTTTGGTTGAAGAATTGTTCTGACTTCAAAAGTACTTGAATAGAATCATGTCGGTCTTATGACCTCCTTATTGGGAAGTTCCCACGTCCGACGAACATGTGAACGCCCCACTAGCATGCCAACACGTTGGCACTCATTTTGAGAAGGGTCCATCTGTGGACCGCAGACTGGGGGGTGTGACATGTGGGGATTTTCGTGTAGTGATGATCGACTACACACAACGCCCACCAAGTAGTGAGTGCCACGTGAGATTAGCTTGCTAGCTACTTCCCTCGCCGTAACCTGGCCGTAACTGCAGGAAAGCTGTGCTCGGCCGGCGGGGGCGAAGGACACTGCATACCAGTGTTGTGAAACACCAACTTGCCGTGCATGCTCTACCCACTGAATAGACTGTATGTATCCCGGTGACATCCAGATGGTTACCAATATTATACTGAACAAAAATATAAACGCAACATTTTAGTCATTTAGCAGACACTCTCATCCAGAGAGATTTACAGGAGCAATTAAGGTTACATGCCTTGCTCAAGGGCACAGACAGATTTTCCACCTAGTCGGCTCGGGGATTAGAACCAGCGACCTTTCGGTTACTGGCACAACGCTTTTAACCACTAAGCTACCTGCCGCTTTCAAACATTTTACTGATTTACAGTTCATACTGTATAAGGAAATCAGTCAATTGAAATAAATTCATTAGGCCCTAATCTATGGATTTCACTTGACTGGAATACAGATATGCATCTGTTGGTCACAGATATCTTTAAAAAAGGTTGGGGCGTGGATCAGAAAACCAGTCAGTATCTGGTGTGACCATTTGCCTCATGAAGCGTGACACATCTCCTTCGCATAGAGTTGATCAGGCTGTTGTGGCCTGTGGAATGTTGTCCCACTCCTCCTCAATGGCTGTGCGAAGTTGATGGATATTGGCGGGAACTGGAACACGCTGTCGTACATGTACAGTGTATAATATTTGTCATGAAGGCTACTATGCTACTTGGAATAAAATAACTTTGAGGAAAACATTTGGCTACGTGTAACTTCGGCCGGTGACACCATGATACAGCTCAGGTCGGCAGCCACCATTGGACACCGGTGCTCGTCGTCATTCCCGAAGGCAGTAACGTTAGCTGATTGCCAATGTGACATCCAGATGGTGTCCAATATTACAGATTATTTATTGTTTGCACATCGAAACATAACTCTTTTTAACTAGCGCCCGGCCTTTAATGTCTGTTTTTGTGTGTGAAGCCGAAGCTAAACTTCCCACATAGCGTGGATAATTGTGTCACCAACAGTACTTTTACAAGCAGCTTCAATGGCAAGGGGCGTGGCATGTAGTGACGCAATGCTAATGGTCATTTGTTGTGGGGTGTTCGTTGTAGTAACTGCAGTCCGCAGATATACAGTGGGCGGACTTGATTATGTTGAGCCGCGGGGTACCGGTCTATAGCCCGTGAAGTGAACACACCAAAGCGGTGAGGGAGGAGTGCAGCGCCCTTCTCAAATCGAACAGAAACCTGTGCGGCTCGGTCATGTTGTCAACAAGGCAGCATGGTGCATCATCTATACAACATCTATTTTCCATATAATATGTTTGAATTTTCAAACTAGTTTTCATTGGGAAGGCAGATCAAGCATTTTTTTTTTTTTTTTAAAGCAATCACCTTCGCATGTGAAAACACAGAATCCTACTCATCACTCTTAACTACGTAACATTTGTTTTGAGCAGACTTCGCTGTGCCTTTGAACCACTGAGGTATAATAAGAACTGGTACTGTATATACTGAGGTATAATAAGAACTGGTACTGTATATACTGAGGTATAATAAGAACTGGTACTGTATATACTGAGGTATAATAAGAACTGGTACTGTATATACTGAGGTATAATAAGAACAAGATGTTCGACCATTGTTTTCAAGGGGGAGGGGCTATACGGACAAGCATGGTGCCCAAAATTGATGACGTATGCTGCGCTGCGAGTTGAGTGGGGACGAACAGATTCAGTTCAGTCAGTCATCCTAACGAGCCCACCCCCAGCTAGCAAGTTTAGGCATCTGGTTAGAAACTTCAACGAGAATTTGACATTTCTGAGATTGTTCAGAATCATTCAGTATTTATCAGAGTAATTGTTTGTTTATTTTGTACAAAAATGTTGCAGTAGCTGTATATTTTCTGTGAAAATCACTGCAATAAATGTGCTTTAGCTGTCACCCTGGCCTTATATCGGCTACACTATCTAGCTACTTCCTTTTCCCTACTGCAGGACAGCAGTGCTCGGCAAGCAGGAGCGAAGGATACACTGTGCCCTGTGTTGTTGTGTTGCCGGTTTGCAGCGCTAACTCTCACCATTTAGCAGTAGACTGTCACGATGACATCCAGATGGTTGCTACCAATATTACAAGTTATTTCTCGTGTAGGCTGCTATCCTACTCTAAATATAATCAAGTGGGATGGAACAAATTGCCCATCCACACCAGCTTGTCGTTATGTTAGCTAATTGGCATGTCACAGTGACATCCAGATGGTGACCAATACCACAATTTATTTCTCCCCCGTCCATCGAAAGAAACATAACTTTCCTTTACAAGTTGTAACTAGTGCCATGCTGCTGTTCTGGCCAGCCAGCATAAACTAGGCTCATCAGGACGGGGGGAAAAAGAGTGTTGCCCCATCAGGAGGACTGTTAAAACCGCCAGCTTCAGTCAGCTGATTCTAGCCATCCTTTATAGTTAGTTATAGTCGGGCAGCTTAGTCTCCTATTCAGAGGACCCCCACTTTTGTTAGTGGGGCGGCAGGTAGCTTGTGCCAGTAACCGAAAGGTTGCTGGTTCTAATCCCCGAGCCGACTAGGTGAAAAATCTGTCGATGTGCCCTTGAGCAAGGCACTTAACCCTAATTGCTCCTGTAAGTCGCTCTGGATAAGAGCGTCTGCTAAATGACTAAAAATGTAAATGTCTTATTGGTCAAGGTCACCCCAAATACTTATCACCACATTTCGTTCTGCCTATCCGTGGCCTTGATTCCCGGGACTTCAGTTTCAGTTAGTCTATGACCCCAGCATGCAGAGTGGCCAGAAACGTTTTTTCCCCATCTTGATGAGCACTTCCACGGTTTACCCTCCTGCTGAACTTTTCCTCCTGTGGACTGAATTCCGGTATGTCTGATGTTTATTTGTTCATGCATCTAAACAATCATAGTTCATGTCAGTTCTCACTGGACATTATTCTCAGTTATCTGAACCATGAGTGGTCAGATGTGTGTGTGAATGTGGACATCTTCTTCCATTAAAATCCCCTTAACCTCGGCATCCGCCTCATCCTTGTTCTGACCGGACATTCTGTAGTGGTTGCTACCAGCCTTAAGCCAGCCCCTAAGGTTTCTTATTACATTCATGGTCCTTCGATTCTCTACAACCCTACCGCTATTTTTCAACAACTGATTGAACTGAATCCATTGGACATGACTCCAACAGGGTCACCAGGAGGGATCAGCTAATGAAGTTGGAAGTCCCACCCAGTTGACTACATTAAAATGGTGGAAGCCTACAATGCTGCTGCCCATTCTAATAAGGCCTTTTGGCCAGTAGAGTCCTCTATGGTTTATATGGGCCAACATCATATGCGCACTGGGCGTTAGCCTGCACAGGGAGCAGCGACGATGTCATCACATCATCCAAAAACATGGTAGACTTTGGCTTAATATAAAATGTTAATATCTTCTGCTATGAGTGCTGGAGAAAAAAAATCGGTTTGAGTGACAATTATTTGAATAATTCAATGGATGTTTTGTGCACAAAGGTGACTCTATATGGCCGTCTATGGAAATTGTCTTTCTGGGACGGGGGTCAGTTAAACTGCAGTACCGAAGTAAAACTGTATGAGCAGTCGAAATCGTGATTCTAGACCAGAACCCTGGCCCTTTGCTTTGAACAGGGTACGTGGCTCACGCCCAGACTTATGTGAAGCTAGCCACAATAAGGATTAGCCACAATAGTGACATTAGTGGTTCGCCTTCAAAATAAAAGTCATTTATGGAAAGTGATAGAAATAGTGGAATTATTTCATATTTGGACTAAATAATGCTAAACAAGGTTGGAATGTTGTGGATTGTGGATCAATGAATCCATAAGTAAGGTTGTAGAGTGCAATATACAATGTCTAATAGGCATAGTAGGTTGACTGGTAAACTTCATGTGGCTAATTTCACAGTGGTTTCAGAGTCCCGCAATATAATAATATGCCATTTAGCAGACGCTTTTATCCAAAGCGACTTACAGTCATGCGTGCATATTTTTTTTTTGTGTGTATGGGTAGTCCCGGGGATCGAACCCACTACCTTGGCGTTACAAGCGCCGTGCTCTACCAGCTGAGCTACAGAGGACCACAAATATGAGCTACGACGCTAATATTTGTTTAAACTCTAAACAGTTATGCTCTGTGGGTGTCACCGAGTAGTCTGATACCCCATTTCACGGATCCACAATCCATAGGTAAGGCTGTACAGTGAAATATAAGTATGCCCCCATTGCAATTCTGAAGTCTAATACATCCACAGTGCGATTAACTCATTCTTCCTCTTTTTTATTAACTCATTTTGTTGAATTTATATAACAACATTCCAACCTTGTTTAGCGTTATCTAGTCCATGATTCCACTATTTGTATTCATTTGCATCACTTTCAATGAGGGACGCTTATTTTGAAGGCGGCTAGCTTCACATAGGTCACGCCCGGGAGGCACCCCGGTTCCAAAACAAATGCAATCATCTTTCACCAGGTTGACCACACCAGCAACAACATTGCCAAATTAAATGTTTATTTTAAAAAAACGTTGAAAGAGAGCTGCAACGCGTAACAAACCTGCTCTATGTAACTTTATCTCCGGTAAGAGGAGGATATCAAGCAGCTTCTGTAGACCGGCGTTCTCCTCTTTCGATAGGGAATATTTTCCCTGGTACTTTGTTATAGTTTTTTCAACGGCTCTAAACAACTCAGGAGCCGCTCTAAATCCCTGGTTGAAAATCAATCCCAACAACTCTATTTTAGACATTTCTCCGAGATTCCTAGCTAAATAATGGAATGCTTGGTAAACTATCTCGAAGCTTGTTTTTTTTTTCAGACCACGCGGAAGGCGGCAAGCGCACGACGAATGACGTCAAAGAGGACGGGATCCACAATCCAACAACGCGGGCCCCGATTGCTTCCCCTGGACACACACGATGACCAATCCGAGAGCATGAAATTCAACTGAAACGCCTTCTTGTGCATATTATACTCATCATTGAGCAGCACCATCAGCGCAGTCCGTTGGCCTGGTGTAGGACCAGATGAGTGTAGGGTTACAAAGCATAATGCATTTATACTCCAGTGTGGTTGGTGGCGGTAATGCAACCATGCATTGGATGCCAACCGCCATTAATGAACCTCATCGAAAAAACGTACACATTCAGTTGCATGTCATGATCTTCTAAAATTAAAACAATCTTTATTTTGACTTTAGGGGTGATAGCTTTATACAATGTAGGTTTGGTAATATCTAAAATACGTGTAAATGTGGATGTATCATTTTGTAGTAGTAGCCCTTGATCATGACTCTCAAAACTTTTTCTCTCTCTCGCTGATGAAAGATAAGGGCCATTTGTTACGAAAGCTTATCGCAAGCGATTATTATTGACGTTTCTAAACGTTAAAACACAGCGTCGGTATTGTAGTTCACATGAACCAGTCTTGCGCTCCTTGAGCGCTAAACCCTTATATAATGTACCAACACATGGCGGAAGATTCAGTAGACAGGGCCGGTTGCCGGTTAGTACCTCCAAATATTTTTTTATAACTAAAACAAGATAGACCACAGCCTGTCGTTTCCAATGGGAACAAATAAGTCATAGTGGGCAGAACAAGCAATGAGGTGGGCAGGGCCAAGCACGAGCTAGCGAGATCCTATTAGCTCGTTCTAGCATATCTGCATATTTCCGTTAGGGAACGCCTACTATTTGAAGTGCACGTGTGCAATAATGCAATTCGCCATTGCACTCCTTCTAAACAAGACGATTTTTTACAACTTTGGCAAAGGTTAAAGTCTACAAAACGTAGTCTACTCGGTTCATAACCGATTGTAGTTTTGGGAACAGAAAACTGTACAGAGATCAAATGTTTCATTGAAGAGAAAATGTGCAGAAGTTCGGCCAAAATCAATCTCCCATCTTCTCCCACTGCCGGCCACTGGGCTTCCTATCACTACCATATTTAGTAGTGAGTGGAAACGCAAAGCGGATGCTTCACATTTATACATATGGTGAAATATCTGTCTCATTGTTCTATCTGTGGTACGTCAATGGTTCAAGCCCCAGACCAGGTGAAAAAAGGGAACTGAACTAAATACAAAATGGGGCGGCAGGTAGCCTAGCTGTTAGAGGTGAGCCAGCAGCTGGGGTGTTGCCAGTTCAAATCCCGGGTCTGGCGGGGAAAATCTGGCGGAGAACTGGCAAACGGAGTGTTGCTGGTATCAAATCATAGTAGATGCCATTGCCTGCCGTTGTGCCCTTGAGCAAGGAACTTAACCCCCCACAACAACTGGTCCACAGGGCGCCCAGTATGGCAGCCCCCTGCTCCAACCTCTCCAATCTGTATATGTATGTGTTTTTTTTTCTCGAAAAAGTTGGGATTAAAGTGGAAGTCAAATTTCGGTTGGACCTTGTGTGCAATTGACAAATAAAGTTATCTTAATTATAACATCAATTATAAGAGGGGCTGTAAAGTCTCCTTCAAATCCATGGGTGTATATTAACTGGCATCCTTTCCCATAAATAATTAATACATTATGGTGAGTGCTCATACTTCTCGAATTTGGGTCAGACTGAGCCTGTGTCCCAAATGGCATGCTATTCCCTATATAGTGCACTACTTTTGAACACAAGGCTCTGGTCAAAAGTAGTACACTATATAATGAATAGGGACAGAACTGACACACCTCTCTGACATACGTAATACAGTTGCTAGATAGAGTGGGGTGTCATGTGCGGTATAGGCATATTATATAGGCCCATAGGGACATACTAAAACAGTCAGTTGTCGAAAAGTAAAATTCAACAAATATGCCTCTGGGATATACACTAAGTATACAAAACATTAGAAACACTTTCCTAATATTGAGTTGCACCCCCTTCTGCCCTCAGAACAGCCTCAATTCGTTGGGGGCATGGACTCTACAAGGTGTTGAAAGCATTCCACAGGGATGCTGGCCCATGTTGACTCCAGTGCTTCCCAGGGTGTTTCTATGGAGCCAGATAGCTGCCAAAAGGTTGAACGTACGTATTGTTAGGATCGTAAGAAAATCCATACGTAAATTGTTAGGATCATAAGAAAAACCATGCATGAAACATGAAACGTAAACGGGAAATTTCATCTGTGAACATACAAACACCATGTTATGATTACGGACTAACATTTTAGGCTTGAGCAAATCTTATGTTGCAATTCTGACGTACAATAATACCTTTCAGAGTTTTGGCAGTTTCATCTCACCAACAAAAAACACATACACCTGTGAGACCTGTGAGGAGTGCTACACGAACAAACATAACACAGTACTAAAAAAAAGTCAGGGAAACCAGAAAGAGGTATCCTGCACGTTTTCAAGTTAAAAGTCTCCATTCTCTATTACTCCTCAGTTGAGTTTAGTTCACATTTATGTAGCTAATGTAATGGATTTCTTTGCCAGCACAAGTCTAGATAGCACTAGCTGTATTATGTCTACAACAGTGAAGTTTCAGTCCGCTAGGTGTATCTCTACATCATGGGCATATCTCTGGGTGACTTGGACATCCCCATGCATGCACCTTATCAAAATATGACTAATTCAATATTGCACCATCCCATTCTCCGGGCTCTGTCTGCAATCATAACCAGTAGTATATACCAGGAATAATGAAACATAGAATAATAATAGATGTTTGGTAAATCTATTAATTATGTATGACCACTGGAGTCTTTGCCACCCCAAATATATTTTTATAGAAATATTTTGAAATTTATTTCATCACTCAAAATCTTGCCAAAGCATATTCTGCAGGAGGGGTTAATATGAATTTCAGATAATTTGACATTATTTATATGAATCGGGTCATGAACATATGTACTTTGAAATTAACAAGGGAGATGTTAAACGTAAGTCTGGCATAAGCTTATTCCCACACTTTACAATAACTGTTGCAGTTGGTCTCTGTATAGGCTATTCCCTCCATCGCTACACTGCTGCCCAGTTAAAGAGCTTGTGATCTCCATGCAGCACCACAGCACCATGCACCTTCGGAAAAGTACCCCTCAGCCTCAGAAGATGCCCTTCTGGAGGCATGCAGCCATAGAGTCATTATACCCTAATGTAGGCCTATTTGCCTACTAGACAAATAAAAGTGCAGAGCATGCATGATGAGTGCAGCTCATCATTCCAACATATTTGAACATTTAATTCATCCTTCATTTAGTTCAGTCAGTCAGTATGTCATCCATTCTGTCATTTGTCTGAGTTGCAATAGGAACTAAATCAAAGAGAATAGAACAGTCTTATCCATTTGTTTATTGAAATTCATGTGTGTATTCAAAATTATCAAAATTGTCCAAAGTTCTTTACCCTATCACTTTAATAATTCAATGTTTAATTTAGGCCTATCCAAGATCTTAATTAATCTAGGCCTATCCTGTCCAAAAATAGGCCTTCATCTTGTAAGCATTGCAATTTAGGCTATCATTTTGGGTACTGGCATCTTGCGGAATAATTTTAGAAAACTATTTGTGTTTTTTAACTGTTTTTATTATAGGCCTCCCCTTAAAAAGAGTCCCTAGCTCACAGGCCTCCAAATAAAGCCTCTAAATAAATGTTAAACAAAATAGTTGAAGAAGAACATACAGTGGCTGATAGGGAAAACAGATCTGCCAATAAGAATAGGCTATAGATAGTCTTGTCCATTTGGGACCCCTTGGCTATTTCGCTCAGGACAGGTTATAGCCAAGACTTAATCAATATTTTGTTTTGTCTCATTTATTGATATGGATATACAGTGGCTTGCGAAAGTATTCACCACCCTTGGCATTTTTCCTATTTTGTTGCCTTACAACCTGGAATTAAAATTGATTTTTTGGGGGTTTGTATCATTTGATTTACACAACATGCCTACCACTTTGAAGATGCAACATATTTTTTATCGTGAAACAAACAAGAAATAAGCCAAAAAAACAGAAAACTTGAGCGTGCATAACTATTCACCCCCCCCTCCCCAAAATCAATACTTTGTAGAGCCACCTTTTGCAGCAATTACAGCCACAAGTCTCTTGGGGTATGTCTCTATAAGCTTGGCACATCTAGCCACTGGGATTTTTGCCCATTCTTCAAGGCAAAACTGCTCCAGCTCCTTCAAGTTGGATGGGTTCCGCTGGTGTACAGCAATCTTTAAGTCATACCACAGATTCTCAATTGGATTGAGGTCTGGGCTTTGACTAGGCCATTCCAAGACATTTAAATGTTTCCCCTTAAACCACTCAAGTGTTGCTTTAGCAGTATGCTTAGGGTCATTGTCCTACTGGAAGGTGAACCTCAGTCCCAGTCTCAAATCTCTGGAAGACTGAAACAGGTTTCCCTCAAGAATTTCCCTGTATTTAGCGCCATCCATCATTCCTTCAATTCTGACCAGTTTCCCAGTCCCTGCCAATAAAAAACATCCCCACAGCATGATGCTGCCACCACCATGCTTCACTGTGGGGACGGTGTTCTCAGGGCGATGAGAGGTGTTGGGTTTGCGCCAGACATAGCGTTTTCCTTGATGGCCAAAAAGCTCAATTTGAGTCTCATCTGGCCAGAGTACCTTCTTCCATATGTTTGGGGAGTCTCCCACATGCCTTTTGGTGAACACCAAACGTGTTTGCTTATTTTTTTCATTAAGCAATGGCTTTTTTCTGGCCACTCTTCAGTAAAGCCCAGCTCTGTGGAGTGTACGGCTTAAAGTGGTCCTATGGACAGATACTCCAATCTCCGCTGTGGAGCTTTGCAGCTCCTTC